CAGAAATTAGAATGATGATAACACCAAGAACCAAATAATGATAACACTATCGATAAAGATAACTCCAATATCACGAGTTTACAATGATTATAAAAACAATGATAATAATATTTACAATGGTGATAAGAATGATGACACCGCCAACAAGAAATGATCATGATAATAATAACAATAAATAACACATAGAACACACAGCGATAACCGGATATCAGAATGATGATAACACTACCAACAAGGTATAATCCTGACAACAATAAAAAAATAAAAATAAGACATAGCACAAAGCGATAACGAAGATAATAATGAAACGAGCGAATTGTAGCGATAATCACAGCGTAACGAGCAAACTGCTTGTTAAGCTGAACGAGACCCGACGGCGATGAATCAGCACTTTTATCCTTCAAAAGAAAGTGCATTTGCTTTTTCCTTGAGAATAGTTCAGAGGACTTAGATAACGGAGGTCGCAGCTGTGTGCTTGTGTGCTTGCTGTGTGGACGTGTAGGTAAGTGTGTATGTATGTCTGTACGTCGGTGTCTATCGTTTTTTTATGTGTGTTATCTTTATTTATTATTTTCTTCGCCTTCTAGCGTTTTTTTTATTTGTATCTTTATTTATCATTTTCTTCGCCTTCTATCGTTTTTTATATGTGTTATCTTTATTTATTATTTCTTTCCTTCTATCGTTTTTTTATTTGTATCTTTATTATCATTTTCGCCTTCTATCGTTTTTTATATGTGTTATCTTTATTTATTATTTTTTTTCGCCTTCTATATCTTGTTCTATCGTTTTATATGTGTTATTTGTGTTATCTTTATTTATTATTTTCTTCGCCTTCTATCGTTTTTTATATGTGTTATTTGTGTAATCTTTATTTATTATTTTCTTCGCCTTCTATCGTTTTTTTATATGTGTTATTTGTGTATTTTATTTATTATTTTCTTCGCCTTCTATCGTTTTTTATATGTGTTATTTGTGTTATCTTTATTTATTATTTTCTTCGCCTTCTATCGTTTTTTATATGTGTTATTTGTGTAATCTTTATTTATTATTTTCTTCGCCTTCGTTTTTATATTGTTATTGTGTAATCTTTATTATTTTCTTCGCCTTTTTGTGTAAGGATATATATGTGTGTTGTGTATGTGTACGTAGATTATCTTTTTTATATATGTTATTTTTATTTCTTATTTGCTCCGCCTTTTTGTGTAAGGATATGTGTGTGTGTGTGTGTGTGTGTGTGTATCTGCGTGCTTGCTGTGTGTGCGTGTAGGTATGTGTGTATGTGTATGCGTGTGTGTATGTAGATGTCTATGTTTTTTTATATATGTTAATTATATTTCTTATTTCCTTCGCCTTTTTGTGTAAGGATATGTGTGTATGTGTGTGTGTGTGTGTGTGTGTGTCTGCGTGTATGTGTGTATGTGTGTATGTATGTGTACGTCTGTGTTTTAGGTCTCTTTTTTGTCTATCTCTTTCTTATCTTTCTTTTTTCTAATTTTCTTCGCCTTTCTGTGTAAGGATATGTGTATGTGTGTTTGTGTATCTGGGTGTACGCACGTATGTATGTATACGTGTGCGTCTGTGTCTTAAGTCTCTCATTTCCTCCCCTTTTTTTTACCTTTATCTTTTTCTTATCTCTTCTTTTTCCTCTCTTTTTTTATCAGAAAAGAGCTAGAGATATTATAAAAGTTTTATGAAGTCAGATGCCGACGCCAAGAGGGGGGTGGGGGGGGGGGGGGGGGGTCCCACTCCTACATGTTCAGATAGAAGTTTTATCTTCGTCGACCGGCCTCGGGAGGGGAGGGGGAGGGGAGGGGGGGAAGGGGGTTGTGAGGTGAGGAAGGGGGGTGGGGAGGGGAGGGGAGGGGTTGAAGGGGTTGTGAGGTGAGCAAGGGAAGGGGAAGGGGGAGGAGGGGGGAAGGGGGTTGTGAGGTGAGCAGGGGGGGGGGGGAGGGGGGAGGAGGGGGAAGGGGAGAAGAGGGGGATGGGAGTTGTGTGAGTAGGGGGAGGGGAGAGGGGGAAGGGGGTTATGAGGTGTCTATAGGAGGTATGTGAGCAAGGGAGGTGAAGGGGGAGGGGGGAGGAGGAGGATGGGGGAGAAGAGGGGGGAATGGGAGTTGAGGGGAGTTGTGTGAGCAGGGGAAGGGAAGGGGAGAGGGGGAAGGGGGTTATGAGGTGTCTACAGGAGGTATGTGAGCAAGGGGGGGGGGAGGGGGAAGGGTGAGAAGAGGGGGGATGGAGTTGAGATGAGTTGTGTGAGCAGGGGAGGGGAGGGGGAGGGGAAGGGGGTTATGAGGCGTCTACAGGAGGTACGTGAGCAAGGGGAGGGGGGGGGGTGTCTGTGGAAGTTGTGTTAGCAGAGGAGGGGAAAGGGGGGGGAGGGGGTGTGTGGAAGTTGTGTTAGTAGTGGAGGGGAAGGGGGAGGGGATGGATGGTTATAAGAAGCGAATGGGAAGTAGGGTGGGTGGGGGTGGTACAGGAGGGGTAGGGGGATCTGCCGAAC